ATTTATGCCGACTTGTATCTAATTATCCCAGCATTAGTTCATGTTGAAAACTTATTCAACAGAGAAATGCACGTCCTAGTTTAGTTTCCTACTTTTTTCTGTATGTGTATGTTTCTTTTTTCTGCATTATGTTGCAATGCTGACACAACAACTACTTGCTTTGCAGTGAGTCTACAACTGCCAGCACTCTTGTTGCTTAGATTTGGCATGCGGGTCGTGCAATTTCGGGTATCTTTGTGTTTCAATGTCAATGCTCATTGCTCGGTACGAGTTAGATTGTGTATTCCTGTTCTGGTTAGATATGTCTTGATGTAAGACTATTTATAGATGTTAAAAGTTCTGTTGTCTGAAAAGAGAGTTAAAGAACTCATTTTTAGTTTGACTCAATTCTATTCATTTTCTTTTTTCATTTAATTTAACTTTTGGAGTAGGAAATAATCTAAAATGCATCGATTCCTATGTTCTGGTAAACATGAACCTTGAAATAAGGTTTTAAATTATTAATTGATTGACTAATTCGGATAAACTATCTCTATTCATTATTCGGGTGACCCTAATTCAATTTCTTCTATTTATAATTTAAAAGGAATTGGAATATATAATGGATTAATGTGTCTTGCAAGGATCACTTATTTTTTATATAAAATATTATAAATAAAGTTTTGTATATAAATGTTAGCAAATGTGTATTTGATCTATGATTATATATACTTTTAATTATTTTATTTGAACAATATATGCAAATATGAAAATATTTTATAGTAATAATAATAAGGCTTAATACAAAAAATAAGTGTGCAAATTATATTTCAAAATACGATCTGGTGTTTAAAGAGTTTTTCGCCAATAATAAGTGTTTAACTTTTTTTATTTATTTTAGGTGTCCGAGCATTAATCGGTGTTAAAAAACTTTGTTAAGTGATACATGCTACATTTTCATAATTTTGAAAATTTATTTAAAAATTTTAAAAACAAAATTTAAAAAAAATCTTGTGTTCTCCCTCCCTCTCTCTTTCTCCCTTGTCTTCTCCCTTCTCCTCCCCTGCAACTTTCTCAAACGGTCAAAATGCCAGCAGCCACGACTGTCCGTCACATCCGATTAAACAATCGATTATCACGTTTGATCTAAAGGGTTTAGGGATTCGAAACCTTAAAATGAAATCTTTCATTTTCACAATTTTTTGGTGTTCGATCAGTTGAGAAAATATAGCGGGCTTTGGTCGTGGGTGGTTGACCTGGTCACATATCGTTGGTTGTTCAACCAATTGACGACATTGGTGGCTATCGGCTGTGGTAAAGAGATTAAAATTAAGGTTTTAAAAGTTTGTTTTTTTTTTAAATATTTCTATTTTTATTTTAAATAAAATTTCTTAAAATTATGATGACGTGACACGTGTCACTTAACAATGGAGGTTAAGGCCCGAACACCTAAAATATTAACGGAGAAAATGTTAGACACCTATTATTAACGAAAAATTCTTTAAGCATCAAATATTATTTTGAGTTATAGTTTGGACACTTAATTTTATATAAAGTTTAATAATAATTATTGTTTTAAAGTGAATTATTGGCTTTTTTTATTAACTGAATTGGTACCTTTATAATGCCAAAAAGAAATGTGTCATTGTAGTTGCAAAAAATGGAGAGAATAATTTCCTCGTTATTATACACATGTATTTGAACTACTGGGTTGTGTTTGTTTCATATAAATTGTTAATTTATTGATTTTGAATTTTTTATATAACTTCTTAAAGCGTTAATTTTTAAGTCGACGATCAATCACAAGGCTTATCACTATTATTCAAGACTGACTTGTCAATTTTATAAAACTAAAGTATCAAATTCTACTAAATTAAAATAGAGGGATTATTTTTTTTGAATTAATTAAAATAATGATTAAATTGATAGATTATGTAAATATTAAGGACTAAATATATAATTATTTCAATTTTATTACGTCATCACCTATGTTAAAAATTAACGGTGAGTGGTTGGATTGAATCATTTAAATAGTTAGGTGGTATGTTTGATCGAATTTAAACATTGGTGGTCAAAATGGTTAATGACCATAGTTTGGTGGTGACCGTGTAGTTTACCCTTATTGTTAACATCAAGGACCATTTTTCCTTCCGGTTCCTCTACACAAGTTGAAAACCCTAGAAAAACCCGCATCAAACCAAAGCAAAAGCAGTGATAATGGCGGTAGGGCTTAGGCAGTTCACGGCAAGAAGTGGAAACGGCGCCGGAGAGCCAGTTCTGGACACAGATAACGGCGAGGAGCTTGTTCACGTCCAACCTTTCGTCTCCGTTGCACTTGGAAATCGTGCCCCAGAATCCCCGGGCACTCTCTACATCACTACCAGGTACCTTCAAATTGGCCTTCATTTACTCAAAAGATTTTGCTTGTGAACATCTTCATTTCAATTACAAATTGAACTTGCAATTTATGATTTCTCTGGTAGGCAAGTTGTTTGGCACAGTGATTTGGACAGAGCAAAGGGCTACGCCGTTGATTTCTTGTCTCTGTCGTTGCACGCCATTTCAAGGGACCCCGAGGCCTACTCTTCTCCCTGTATTTACACTCAGGTGCACTTATGCTTCTCTTAGCAGAATATCATTCGTCTGCCCAGAAAACTAACTCCCTTTGTTTTCCTTAGTTCTTTGATCTTTATTGATTATTTTAGCTGTTAATCAATGCTCATGCATTCAGTAGCTTGATTTTTGTGCCTCTGTAGCTGTTTGATAGCTTGGGTGCAAGTTAATTTTGGTTGATTACTGAGAAGAAAGGAAAACAGAGGTATCAAATTCAGGAGGGGGGGGGTTAGCTGCCAGCTTAATATTTTTTGAAAAAAAAAAGAATCTGGTCTTATTAAAATTCGGGGTTGAAACAAAATTAAATTCTTTTTATCTTAGTTTAAATGGAATTTTATAACTTCTCTGTGTATTTTCAATGGTGATATTCAATGTTTTTGTTTCCCGCTAAGCGCTTGTAGTACATTTTCCCTCATTTACTGAGAGACGTCTCTTTTTCCTTTCCCTCCATTTGAAGCCGCTGGTGCCATATTTTTTTGTGCCTTTTATTAGCATGCACTTTTCATCCCCTTTATTCATCGTCTGATTAATGCTTTTTTGTCTGAAGATTGAAACTGAAGATGATGAAGTTGAAGATGAGACCGAGGACTCGGACTCAGAATGCAGTGACTTTTTAGATTTATCCAAGATCAGAGAGATGAGGCTTATTCCTTCAGATGCTAGCCAATGTGTGTATGATTCAGTATTTTCCTCTACTAGTTAGTTCATAGATGATTATTTCTGTCTCCGGTGATAATAAATGCCAACTCATTTATCTATTTTTTTCTTCTGTAAAAAGTGGATACTCTGTTTCTAGTATTCTGTGATTGTGCTGAACTGAATCCGGAGCCTATCGAAGGTGAGTTCCAGTTATTAATTCGAAAATCCATTTTCTGTTGTACTGGCATTTTTCTTCTGCTGACTGGATGGCGGTGTACTGTTTTTTTGTTATTCTTTATTTAGAAGAAGAAGAAGGACATAACTGGATTTTCAGTGCTGATCAGTTGGAAGATGGAGCTGGAGGTATGCAATAGTCTGAACTCTGAATGACTACTTTCTTGAATGGCTCTCATCTGTTTCCTTTATAGCTCGCATGTTCTGTAAATCCCTAATTACATACTGTATCTCCAGAGAGTGAAGACATAGAATGGAATTTCTCCCAGAATCTGACAAGCACAATCGGCCATTCTAATGGTCATCATGACCTATCTCGCAATGTGCTTGAGGTATGCTCTAGTTAGTTGCTGTTCACTCTACATGATCAATGCTAATGCTTTGAATTTGAATAAATGCAACTTTTGGAACGGAAAGCTTTGCTGTGTAGATGTCTTGTTTTCATGTTAACTTTCCATGTACATGTCTCCGGTTCAACTCTTGCATACTTTCCTACATTCCTTTCTTGATTCGCTTCTCGGGTTTGTCGTCTCATTGAGTCCCATTTGTGCAAAAACAAAACTTGCAGCTCCAAATCAACGATCAACGCTTTGAGGATGCGGACGAGATGGAAGAAGTTACTGACGGCGGACATCAGAAGCAGCCACGGTGAGCAACCTCGTGATATTTGTCGTTCAATCCGTATGCAGGAATTTCAATGTAAGGCAAAGCTTGTGTTGCATTTTAACCGAATTTGTGCCCTTACCCTATATTGTATATTAACAGTTAACCACTCGAACTGAGACGCGAGCATTTTCTTTTTCGAGAACGTCGTGTTTTTAAATTTTATGATATATTTTTTTTTTCTGTTTTTGACGAGGATAAATATCTTCACTTCTTTAAATCTTCTCTCATGTTCAATCTCGTACATTTATTCAGACGTTCACGAACAATTAAAAGATTGATTTGATACCATTTGTTATAAGATTATTATCTTCCTCTCGAAAGATATAATACATGATAGAATATACAAGGCAAAATCGATCAATGGGGTGCTGGAAAAAACAATTGCCTTAGATAGGGTCTAGTTTATTTTTTATCTAGTGTGATTGCTATAGTTCTTATCGAAAGACGTCGGAAATACCATGCGACTTCAATTTTCTAGTGGAAGATGAATGAATTACCATGCGTCTTCAGCTTGTCCAAACTACATCCATAAAAGTGATACAGAGCAAAGAAAAAATGTCGGCGATGGAAAAGACGCACTGTAATCCACGCATCTTCCTCGAAAAAGTTGAAGTATAATTCTTAGCTTCTCTCCTTATCACAGTAACAACGATCCTATATTAAAAAAAATAATATAATGGGTGTCTTGTATTAGAATTTTTTTCCCACTACTCGAATATATAATGTTACAGTCTATTCTCTAAATTTTATTTTATTTTTATAAATATTTACTTCTTTCTTGTATTTATTAGTACGAATTTCGTCGGTGTAAGGGCATCTCCAACGCAGCTCTAGTGCGGAGAATATCTCCACTTTGGAGATAGTATTTTTCTCCAGTCCATCGCTACAATGCATCTTTATTGTGGCGATCTGTTACAGTTCACGCTACATCTGTCATTGCACTGTAGCTGCGCTACAATTTTTTTGTTTGTTTGTAATTTTCTGATTTTTTTTAATTCAAGTAGATTAAATTGCAAGATAGATAAAAATACATTGAAATTAGATAAATAAACATACTAATTTTTTGAAACATAAAAACTACAACAAACACAAAAACATAGAAAATATGTTTTTATGTTTTTGTTGTAGTTTTTTTTTTGTAATATTTCTGATTTTTTTAAAATTCAAGTAGATTAAATTGCAAGATAGATAAAAATAAATAAACATACTAATTTTTTGAAACATAAAAACTACAACAAACATAAAAACATAGAAAATACTAATAAAACATAAAAACACAATGTTATTTATGAATGTTTTATTTATGTTTTTTTTATCTTGATATTTATTATAAATGTATATGTTTTATTTTATATTTATAAAATCAATATTATAATAGTTAAATATTGTGAATAAAGTAGAGTTGGTGGTAATTTAGAGATAGTGCTGGAGACGAATTATTGTTTCATCTTTAGAATAGAGATATAGATATTGTAAATTAGAGATGGACTGGACTATCTTACTTAAGAATCCTTGAAGAAAAGAAAAAGTAAATCCCTAATTGATATTATCATTTCCTATCACTTTAACATAATCATTTTCACAGCTGATACACATGTATTCGAGGGTGGGCACTGAAATCTGAATTTTCTTTATTTAGTTATTTATTTTACTGGAGATGAATTATTTTTTCATCTTTAGAGTAGAGATAGAGATGCTGTAAATTAGACATGGACCGAACTATCTTACTTAAGAATCCTTGAAGAAAAGAAAAAGTAAATCCCTAATTGATATTATCATTTCCTATCACTTTAACATAATCATTTTCACAGCGGATACACATGTATTCGAGGGTGGGCACTGAAATCCGAAATTTCTTTATTTAGTTATTTATTTTACTGGAGATGAATTATTTTTTCATCTTTAGAGTAGAGATAAAGATGCTGTAAATTAGACATGGACCGAACTATCTTACTTAAGAATCCTTGATGAAAAGAAAAAGTAAATCCCTACATGAGATTATCATTTCCTATCACTTTAACATAATCATTTTCACCAGTAGCGGATACACATGTATTCGAGGGTGGGCAATGAAATCCAAATTTTCTTTATTTAGTTATTTATTTTACTAATAATGTTCACCCTAAAATTTTATCCGTGCCTATCCTATTCACAAATATTATATTATTGACATATGTGTGTCCACCCATAAAATTATTTCTAGATCCGTCACTGATTTTCACACACAAAAAAAAAAGAGAAAAAGTGGTGATTTGTGTTTGTGATCATTTTGTCAAGCTAATTATGTGAACCCCAGGACCTTTGCGTTGTGTCTCCAACACTACATGCAAAATCATATCTTAATTTGTGGGTTCTTTCGGTTCTTTTCTCCGTTTACAATCATCATCTCACTTCAGCATGCATCATTTTTTTTTATATTTTCATTACTTTAGTGATTGATGAATAATTCTGTTATATGACGGTCTGATTTAAGATTAAGAAACGGTAGAAAATTAACGTAACGAAAAAAAATTATGATTTTTTTATTATATTTTAAATTGCGTTTATTCTCCGTCGTTCCTTAACATTAGAATATGTTCCTCAATGCCTGCCTGCCTGCCTTCTTTAATTATTTATCGGCCTCAACAAGCTGCTTAGCTGCATATGATGAATGCACATACGCATGCACCTTCATATATATAATTAGCAGATGAAACACATTTTTCAACTGCCAGTTTAAATTAATAACACGATATATATAGATAAAAAGGAAGAAATAATCTAACAACAGCTCCCCATCAATATTAGAACGTCTGTCTCTAAAACAACAACAAAAATTACATAAAACGACTCTAACAATAAACTCTACCGTTAATCTCTCTTCTTCTTTATCTGTGTAATCGACAATCACATCAATTTTGATATTAATTGTTGGCCTTCGATATTCAATATTTTTCTTCTTTTTTTAATTATAGCATACCTTTTTTTTTCTATTTTTCCTTTCAATAATTATACTTTTACAACACAGTCTCTATAACACGGTTTTTTTCTATAATTATAACTCTTTTAATAATTATATCTTTTTTAGGGTTGTATTTGACATCGCCACGACTAATTGAGATTACATTTGTTTGCTATCATGTTGATCTTACCTGTTTTAGACTCCGAATTGAATTTGGATACTCGATCCACGTTCGTTGATAGTATTTTCACGTTGTTCGATTCTGATTTGTGATTTTCTGACGGTCTTTCAATAGTTTCATCCTCTCTTTTTTTGTTCGTTTGTCGATGCATTCAGATATGTTAGTATCTATCTTTTGTTCGAGTTTAATGGGTTAAGTTTTTAATGTTTTCCTTGTATAGTCATTGTATGATCTTACTAATAAAAGTTAATGTTATTTTTTATTTTATTTTTTTAAAGAATATAGGTTATTTTTATTAATCCATGTAAACACAAAGCAATATCGGTTAGAATATAACTCTTAACAATTTGATATTAAACGTTCACATCTTTAGTATTTTTAATACTCGAAATCTTAAAGAATAACAATAATTGTTTTATAACAGATATCGTACAATTTGAATAATCAACCCAAACTATTTTATAATTCACCCAAATTTTGTGGAATAAAATAATTAAGGCTTAGTACACTATAAATGTTAGGGGTGTAAGCTTTCAATATCAAAAGGTTGAGATTTGTCTTTAAACATATATTGTTTTTTATTTATCCTAAATTAATAATATATATATATATATATATATATATATATATATAACACAAATCAAATGAATTCTATTAAAAATAAATTATTGTTATTTCTTGAAAATCTGAGTTAGTATACTATAAATGTTAGTGGTGTAAGCTTTTAATATTAAAAGGTTGAGAATTTTCTTTAAACATATATTACTTTTTATTTATCCCAAATTAATTATATATATATATATATAGCACAAATCAAATGAATTCTATGAAAAATAAATTATTGTTATTTCTTGAAAATCTGAGTTAGTACACTATAATGTTAGTGGTGTAAACTTTCAATATCAAAAGGTTGATAATTGTCTTTAAACATATATTACTTTTTATTGATCCCAAATTAATAACATATATATGTATGTGTGTATGTGTTTGTGTTTGTGTATTTATACGAAAAAAATAGTATTAGTAATTAATGTTGGTTCACATGAACGTGACGAAAGCAGTTGAAGATCGTTTTTTTTGTTGCCCTTCATTTGTAAGGCTTCATCCTGATTAATCTAGAACTATCTGAGTCGCACATTTGGTTTTGGTATGTGAGTCTCTCAAAAGAGATTTTCTACACGCACAAGGATTCGAACCTAAAACCTTGCTTAAGCGATATCAAGTTGCTTACCACTTAAACCAATTCTCGTCGATAATATCGTTTTATTGAATTCGAAGATGAATATATTATACAACATAAGATAATATTTATTAACAATCTTTTTATTGATAATAAACATATATATTACAAATACATACTCAAATATGAATCCTCTAAAAGGAAATATTTCCTTTTGTTATTAAGAACTTTCATTAAGTTCTTTAATACAGTATTTTTTAACAATTTAATACGATTATTTTAAATATACATCTTATTAATGAAGTTAATATTTCGGTCATGATAAGACATGTATATTATAAATGACGTATTAAGCATGCACGCAACAATACGGACAAGAGAAAATAGCCTTGTCACTAAGGTAATTCTGTCACACGATAATAAAGAATATTTTAGTTTGAGCAACCTTTTTTTTTTTTTAATATTTTCCGTTTGCAAACCGAAAATATTATGGACATGTCATATTTTCGATTCAGAAAAAAAAATTTAAAAGAATTAACATTTTAGGTTACATCTAATTTTAAATATTACGTTTTTTATAACATTTTCTGTTACGTTAATTCACTGTTATTTTTTAACCTTAAATTAGGTTATTGTTCCGTATACTCCCTCTTGTGGTTATCTTCCTTTGGTAACTTGATTGTTGTCCTTGATTCTTTAACTATAATCAACTAAGAGAAAAAACTTAATCTCGATATTTAACGAAATGAGGTATTATATATCTTAACTAAGATTAGATATTTAAATCTCAATAATTTTAATGAAATAAACTTCGTTAGAAAGAGTGATCAAAACTAATTTTCTATAATATTTAATCTGTTTTAATTGATTAATAAATTAAATACGTATAATTAATAAAAAAAGTTATCGAACAAATAGTATTGGCCGTGCTTCGCACGCGCTATGTCGGATCGTATGTTTCTTAACGAGAGGCTGATTGGCAGAGCATGTAAGCCAATAGCCCGCCAAACACCACAAGTTTCGGAGCCGCTGTCCGGCGAAAAACATGAGTTTAGAATATAAATAAAAACGCGCGTGGGGTTTGTTCTGTTGGGAGCACGAGTGAAAAGGGGAGGTGAAATCAGATTCGAAACAAAGCAGAAGTTGAAGGTCCACGGAAGTAGTTTGGTTGCTTTCAGTGGGGTCCATAGCAAATAAAAAAGGAGTCGCTCTCAATCTGAGCTGTGAGATGGCTACCGGCTGGCTCGCCTGTCATCATTTAGAGCCGCGCAAATTACTCCCCTATCCTATCCTCCTTTCTTCTATTGCACTCCCCACTTGTGGGCAATTTTACCCAAATAACACCCTAACAATAAAATATTAACTGTCAGAATCTTTTCTTCAAATATTACTAATTTAGGATAATTTCTAATAGAGTGAGGATTATAAGACGCGACCTCGCGGGATTTTGTGTGATATGAATAAAATGAGTATAATAAAATATAATAAAATAATAAACTATTAAATGACTCGATATATTAATAAAATAATAAAATTAGTACGATAAATAAAATAACATGATTTAAAATTATTATTGTATAGGTAAAATGACTCGATAAATGATTCTCATTTAAACACAACAACCCGCCTGTCATTTTATAACTACATAAAATAATAAAAAATTAATACAATAAAATAATAAATTATTAAATAATTATAATATAAAAAATTTAAATTCTAAAAACGATAACTATACTTAATTAAAACTTGATACAACATTATATAAAAAAAGAAATAGAGTGTTTTTTAAACTGCTTACCAGTTGTCCTTCCTGTTTCAAGCTTTCGTCTTGATTAATTTGGATCAACATATAGAAGTTAGTTCAAGTGGTAAATAATTTATGATTTTGAGTTTGAGTCGAATTAAAAAATTTTAGGCTTACGAATTTTTGAACCGAGTTGAGTTTTATTTTAGAGTTTTCAAATAGAATATAGCTCGATTCGACTCGTAAATTCAATATAGGGCAGAATGTGTTGTCAGGCCGTAAATTCAATATTCATTTTGAATATTATTATTTAAAACACGATGCAATTATAAATAAAATTTACATTTTAAATTTATATTTAAATGAAGAACCGTATTTTAATCTCGTATGGTTACAGTACACAGCAGCACCTGACTCTGATCATCTTAGGCTTAGCCACAGACAAAGATGCAGTTGTGCCTTATAGTACAATTCCTAAATTACCCTCATCCTCTATTTTCCCGCGGTTTTTAGTACATGATGATGAAAAAATGTGTCCCCACTCTGACCCCGTAGGGGCCCCACTTCAACTCCCTTCACTTTAAAGGATCTATCAGTCCTCCATTACCCGCAACTCAATGCATCTGTAGTAGTCATAATTCTTTTTCCTTTATTTTTTAACCTTTTCAAAATATTCTCATATCCCAACATATAAAAGTAACGTCGTAAAATTATAAAAATATAAATTTATATGAAATTTTTTAAAATCATAAATAAAAGAGAAGAATCAGTGAGAAATTATAAAAGTATCATTTTAAATTGTATTAAATATTAAAATCTTACTTATATATAATTATAAAAAATAATATCTAATTAAATAAATTTGAATGACACACATTTTTAAGTTTATTTTTTACTAAACCAAAATATATTCATATAGAAAAAAAAAATTCAAATCAAAAAAATCACACAATTTAAAATATTATATTTTTACGCCATTTTTTTAAAATCAAAATCCTTCCTTTTCTATTCTAACCGCGTGTCTGTGTATATATAAGCTCATAATCCATCTCACCGAGTATTCTGGCTCTAGCCTTTCAAAAAAAAATTCTCTTTCTTAACCCCAGTTTTTAAAAATGCACCGTGTATCGGTGCTGTTCAGCCTCGTTGCGGTTGCAACACTGGTGGTGGTCATAAATCCGGTCACCGGTTATCGTCCATGGTTAAAGGCCAACAGCTCTGATTTAATGTTCGGTGGCTCCAAAAAGTACGAGGGCTCGTCGGAGTTTGTCAAAATGAGATACCACATGGGACCGGTTCTCACCGCTAATATCACCGTGCACCCGATATGGTACGGCCGATGGCAGAATTCCCAGAAGAAGATCATCCGCGAGTTCATCAACTCGATCTCCGCCGTTGATTCCATGCACCCATCGGTGGCCGGATGGTGGAAGACGGTCCAGCTCTACACGGACCAAACCGGGGCCAACATTTCCCGTACGGTGCTTTTGGGTGAAGAGAAAAACGACCGTTTTTACTCCCACGGGAAGTCACTAACGCGCCTGTCGATACAGTCCGTGATAAAAAGCGCGGTGACGGCCCGTACGAAGCCGTTGCCGATAAACCCAAAGAGCGGGCTATATCTCCTGCTCACATCCGACGACGTGTACGTCCAGGATTTTTGCGGCCAAGTTTGCGGATTCCATTACTTCACATTCCCCTCAATCGTGGGGTACACGCTCCCGTACGCATGGGTGGGCAACTCCGCCAAGCTTTGCCCGGGAATATGCGCTTACCCTTTCGCCGTCCCGACATACATGCCGGGGTTAAAGCCGCTAAAGTCACCCAACGGTGACGTGGGTGTCGACGGGATGATAAGCGTCATCGGACACGAGGTTGCCGAGCTGGCAACCAATCCACTGGTGAACGCTTGGTACGCCGGGCAAGACCCGGTGGCTCCGGTGGAAATAGCGGATCTCTGCGAGGGCATTTACGGAACCGGAGGTGGTGGCTCGTACACGGGGCAATTATTGAACGATAGAGGTGGCGCCACGTATAACATGAATGGGATCAGACGGAGATACTTGGTTCAGTGGGTCTGGAACCACATCGTGAGTTACTGTACCGGGCCTAATGCCCTTGATCAATAATTTTTATTTTTGGTTATTTTTTTGAAACTTGTGTTTCTTTGTCCTGTCTGTTTATTACAGTTTTTGTTTTTGCCTGTGGGGTGTCTGGGTTTTGGTTGATGAATGATTAGTTAAGGTAGTTAAGTTTGTTAAGTATGTACTTCTGTAGTATAATAAGTTTGATTTTCCTAATACACTATTTCTTATACCAATTACATTGTATTTGTGCTTTGATTCCCATCACCTTTCGATTCAGTTTCTTCCAATTTTCCGGGAAAATTTGTAATTGTTGAAGAGTATTTACCTGACTTACCTTCTGATGTTGTAACATCTCATAATAAGCTACATCAGTGTTGAAGGAATAGTTGTTAATCCTTTAGGTCTCGGGTGTTGAAGGGATTGTTGTTAATTTTTTAGGTCTAGGGTTTAAAATGTTAAACGGTTCATAATTATCTTTGAACATATATTAATTTGTCTTTATCCAAGATTAATCGAAAATGAGGTTGACGATAACGATGATTAAATGACCTTATGATGTTGGAACATCTCATAATAACCTGATTAAGAGATTCTTAATCTTTCTTCAAATGCTTACATAAAATTTTGAGAATGTCTCGATGATATTTCTAATCAGCATAACTATATCTTTTCTCAATGCCTATTTGAAGCCTACGAAAAACAGAAAATCATAACCTATCGTTGCAGGTCATGTAAAAAGCAGCATTTTACTAATAGAAATCTCTATTCGAAAATGGCGTAAACACAGATCGATATAACATGCAAGTGCCAGCCCATTAACTAAGTACATTAATATCTCACCAGAACAAACCATAATGGCTATAAAATTTTGCTTCTAATATTCAACTGCACAATTATAGTGTGGCATGGCTGATGATTATCACCCAAGCAACAACTCCACCTATATTAGGACTGGTAGGCTCAACCCAATTCAATGCACTCTGCAGCAGTATGTAGCAGGTAGATTTTATAGTGTCAAATTGCAGAACAAAGGGATAAAAAAAGACATCTTGCGTTACCCGATTCGGACTACAACAAGTTCCCAAAGATAAGCAACAGGGAAAGTTGAGATTCATTTTTTGAAGGCAGGACAAAACGAGACTTAAAATGTGTAAACATACTACATTTGAAACTTGGAGTGGCATGTGGAGTTTGAAGCATGACGAGACATAATCAAAAAACTGTTAGGCGGTCCACGTCTAACACATAGGGAACGATCGAGAGTCGTCGGAGCAACGTAGATTTTAAGCGGTGCAGTGAAAGAAACGAACACACGCACCTCTCACAGCCTCGTCATTGTTCTTCCAAAAATAACGAACACACAAGTGATTGATACGGTTAATAACAGCTTTCGGAAGAACCAATTGTCTACTCCAGAAATTATGAATATTGAAAACAACCACTTGGATAAGTTGAACTTTGTCTGCATAAGACAATTGTAGACCAGCCCAAGTTTGAAACCTTGCCTCAATTCGATCCACAAGAGGCTTGCAATCCTTAACAGTAAGCTTCCTTGTAACCAAATGAATGCCCAAGTATCGGATTGGTAATTTGCCACTCTTAAGCCCCACATCATCCTCAATCATCTTCAACTCATTCCTCGAAACCCTAGTAGAAAAAATTTCGGTCTTCTCCGTGTTAAAACCCAAACCAGAAAATTGATAAAATTCCTCCATGACCACCCAAATACCAATAACATAGTCATAACAACCCTTCGAAAAAAATTAAAAGATTGTCGGCAAAGCAAAGGTGCATAAGTCCAATCCTCGCATATTTTGGGTGATTATTGAACAAACCAGCTCCAGCAGCCATATCCAACATCCTAGACAGAACATTAATAGAAAAAACAAACAGATACGGGGATAAAGGATCCCCTTTAGCACCTTCAAAGTAACCAACAAGCTCACCGTTCAAAGAGACCGAAAACTTGGGATAAGTAATACAAAGTTTAATCCAATTAAGCATAACACAAAGCATGACCAACACTTCAAGGATTTTAAGAATAAAATTCTAGCTCAAAGAGTCAAAGGCCTTATGAATATCCACCTTAATAGCACACCTAGCTGAAAGAGAAGTCATTGCATACCCCCTAATAAGCTCCTGCGCAATTAAAGTGTTGTCAATAATATTCATCCCTGGCATAAAGGCACTCTGGCTATGAGAAATGATATCACCCAAAAAGCCAGTGATTCTTCCCACAAGAATACGAGTAATGCACTTGTAAACCACACTACGACAAGAAACAGGGTGATACTCCTTAATAGAAGAGGGGTTAGGAACCTTAGGAACAAGAATTAAAGTAGTACTATTAAAAGTCGGATGCAAATAACAGTGACTAATTCAGGTTGCAACGTTTTTTTTTTATTCCATTTGCACTTGAATTTTCTTAGATATCTAAGTGAATCTCTTGCATTATACATTTAAGGACGAATTGATTTGGTTTTTCTGTTTCTAACGTTTTGCATTGTGTACTTATAATGTGATCTGAAGAGGCTACCTGCATCATATAGTGACTTTAAAAAGACGTAGTTACTACCAACTTCGCCTACCGATCCAGCAACATTCCCTGTTGCAGAGACCGAGTTAGATTGGGGTAAGTTTCTGGTGGTAAATTAGTTACATTTGTCCTTAATTGGCCTATTTTAAGTGCTTTAATTTGTGATAATTTGCGGAGTTATTTTTTTGGTTTATTATGTGGTTCTGATTATGGCTATGGAACCTAACCAAAAATTTTTAACGTTGAAAGCAATGAGCGAAGGAGACTCGACGAATCTGTTTTTGTTACACAAAAAGGTGATATTGTGGGTGGTGGAACAAACTCAGTGCTCAATGCTTTGGCTGCATACTTGAGATACTTGGAAGGATAAGAGACTTTAGGCTACCTTGATATACTTGATTACTATAGTCTGGATTATGGATTTCTGTAAATTATGGTTAGGAGCCAACTTTTTTTTCTTTCTCCAGTACACAGTAGTCGGACATGAAGGTCCAGCTATTCTGCTCGTGCATGGTTTTGGTGCCTTTCTCGAGTACTACCGTGACAATATAAATGGCATAGCTGAACTTGGGAACCGTGTCTGGGCCATCACTCTGTTAGGATTTGGCAAATCATAAAAGCCCAATGTTTTGTATACCGAACTTTTGTGGGCTGAACTACTGAGAGATTTTATCATTGAAGCTGTTACAGTACCCACAACAATCTCTTCCTCTCTAGCTGAAAATAGCTTATCTGTTTGACTCAACAAATCCCATAACATAATAACATTTACGAGTCACTCCTCATCATAGTAACTCTGTCATTGGCTCGTCGTAAATCAATATTTGTTCGATAATTTAAGTACAAATTAAATATGCATTCACCTGGTGTCCCTTGTAAACCTTCCTTAGAGATTCATATTTCATTCTTAGGGTGTGTTTGGTTGGGGGAATGTGAGATTCTCATGGGAATAGAATCCACATTCCCCCGTTTGGTTGGCCGAGAATGTCATTCCCGGTAATCTTACATTACTAATAGTGGATTTTTTGGGGTATATTACCGGGAATGTTATTATCTCCCTTTCCTTATGTATTGTTTGATTGCCGACGTTTTGGACTAAAAATGCCCTTAAATTTTTTTCCAAAAATATCCTTATTCTGTCGTTGAATAATAAAAATTCTACGGATGTTAAATTACAAATTTATCATTAAACTATTTTAGATTTACAAAAAAAATCTATAATTAAAATTTTATATGAAGTTCAGGGGTTAAAAAAAATTTTACCATTTCATTAAACCTTTTTATATTTTCAATTTTGTAAAAAATTATATAAATTTTATGAATTTAAATTTTTTAAAGAAAATATATAATATTTTCCAACTTGTTAAAAAATAAATATATAATAAGGACAATTTGATCAAATATACATTCCAATAATCTTTTATTCCTTTAACCAAACACGATAATCTTACATTCCTGCTAAACCAACCAAACACAAAATACAACATTCCCAGTAATCCTATTCCCAGATAATCTTATATTCCCACTGGTAATCTTACATTCCGTGAACCAAACACACCATTAAGATTCTTTTTAGCTTTAATATTGTTTGATCTTGATTTCAACCATAATCTTCTATGTAGCTCACACCCAAGGAGAGGAAATATGGAGAGATGACATGAAATTTCTAAGTAATTTCATGTTAATTTGTCATTTATTGAACTTAAATGAATTTAAAATTCATTTAATGTGAAATGACAATTTTATCATTAATGAATTCTCATATTTATATCCATACCAAGTCACACAACACTTATCATCTTTCCATAGTCAAATATGGACAAAATATTATACACTTAACCATTTTATCCATGCAACTTTCCAAAAATTTCAATCTTATCACTTTAATTCAACGGTCCAAATTGAACATAAAAATTAATTCCCAAATCTAATGATTTATATTATTTTCCATCATTTTAAAATATGAAAATAATATTTCTAAGCTTAATTTAATATCCTTCAATTTTCTCAAAATTTCTATTCAACCATATTTAACGAATTTTATCGGACTTTAGCTTTTAACATAAATTTCGGATAAAAAATTTGATTTCCACCTAAGTTTTGTAAATTGCACTTTTGGTCCCCCAAACTTTTGAAATTTACCCTACTGGTCCTTGAACTTTTTTAAGCTTTATACTTTGGCCATTAAACTTTTAAAAATTATATTTTAGACACTAACTAAAATTTTGGGGTGTTACAACTACGGTGTCTTTTGTGTCGGCTTCTTCTCGATGTGTGGCTTTGGGGTTGCATTGAATGTATCGTTACTTCATAGGCATGCACCCTCGAGGGTCCAAGAGGGTTGACTATGAACTGAGCCGGATTTATGGCACGGTTAGCTATGTGAAGGACTATGCTATCCAACACGGTGGTTACTTGTTGGAAAGCAAGGTAAAAGGATGCAGCTCTCGGTAGGGTTGTAAATGAGACGAGACAGATCGTGAGTTATTCAAGATCGACTCGATCAAGGCTCGATAAATACTCGGATCGAATGGACTCGACCTGAGCTCGAGCTCGAATCGAGTTCTTAACGAGCTGAAACGAGCTACTCGATATTCGACTCGAAAAGCTCGTTAGCAACTCGAAAATATAATATATTAAGATTTTATTTAAAAAAATAAATTAATAATAATATTAATATTTATGTATTGATTTTTTAAAAAAAATA